CAGAGCTCTAACTCATGGTGAATCATTACCTGCCCACTAAGCAGACCCCGGTAATGTCTCTCTCTTCTCTTCTTTAGGTTTGACTGACAGCTGTACAGTCATATGCAAAACTCTGGGCACCCCGGTGAAATGACGTGTTGTTGATTTTCTAGGTGAAAATGTTACTACATCCTCTACAGAGAACACACTTCAGCACATTTTAATACACAGTTGTTTATTTGCTGAATTCAACATATTGAGAAAAAAAACATACATTATATATTGAATATTTTAACTAAAATATGCAGAGAAATATGAAGGCAATGTCCTTTTAGAGCATTGTGAAATAATAGCAAGAAATGATTCAGAGTGTTTTATGGGAAACTGGAATTTTATATCTAAATATTTGGAAACCGAGTGACTAAAACAGAGCAATAGTCTTAAAATCAACTCAATTTGTTTATCTTAAATACTGTAAATGCTAAAAAGAGAATAATTTTATTTCATGTTATGTTGAAAGAAACTTTTGTTATGTTTCAATTTCTTGACCACCAGTTATTTAAAATGACAAGAGTTAAAACTATGTAAAACACAAAAAAGGGAAAATAATGGGAATTGGTGTTCATTTTCTAGACTAATGATACTAGTAAAACATACTGGGTGCTAAATGCTAATTGACTGGAAGGGGCTTCCAGCCTTTAAAATTGCATATTTTATATTCAAAATGTTATATTCAAATGTAATAAATATAAGTTAGATTTCCAAAATAAGCAAAGATACAAAATAATTCTAAATAAAAAATAATTCTAAAATTCTAAAAACTAAACAATAACTACAATGATCTCTGACATGATTGCTTAGATCATGTCTTACTAAATCTATTCCAGTGTTGTGTGGCGTTGCTTCAAGGCAACAAACAGTTCAGCAATTTCTCATAACATAAAAACTATTTATATGACACTGAATATTAAAAAAGGAATTTCACATTCAATTCCAATGTGTATCATCTTCCCTTCATTGTTAACCTTTCCATCATCATTAAATATGTATCATGTCATTATAAAGTGAGGAAAAAGGGTTTGTTACCCTGAGGCAATGTGCAGTACATGGTTGTGTTCCCTGTAGATTATTTTTATTTAGAAAATCAAAATTTGCCCACAATTGTAGCTGTGCCTCATCATATCTCCACATTTATACGACTTCCTAAAAGAAAATGACTTGTGTTTAATGGCTGCATGTCCAAACTGAATCATTGTTCGGAAATTAAGTCTGGCAATGCTGTGAACTGAGCTTCTGCAGGGAAAAGTCACTGTTTAAAACATTCTCTATCTCTGCTTCTCCTTATTCTCTATAACACTGATAACAATGTTGGAAGTATACACATTTTTCCACAGCCACCTAATCCAAGCTAAGATTAGTTGTGATTGGGGACCAATACACACGGCGCGGGGCGACAGTCTGACTGTGACAGCTAATGAAATGTAAACACTGTTAATATGTGGTCCATTCCTATAAAGATAATCAGACCTAATCACATTGTTTGCCCTCTGAATACATACTATGCTAATGGGCAAACACATAGGCATGCAGAGTGCCATTAACATGTTCAACAGCATTAGATTAGGCTTAGGTTTACAGAATGGTAATTACCAAAGACAAATGCCCTTTTTTCCAATTAAACATTTATGTTTCACAGAACTGGTTTACTTAATTGTTTAGACCTAAACGACACAATGAGGGTTATTTTTCTCTTGGATTACCACTGATAACATAGCAACACACTGAGAATGAGTTGGCACTACTTTTTAAATACCCAACCTGTATTTTCCTATGAACTGAATTCGTAGACAGCATTTTATACAAAGACTGAGAAAGGACTTGAACCACACTGCTGAGCTTTTCTTCCCGCGCATACTGACCCTGGAGGAGCTTTTTTTCCTCCCCTTGGCCTCAGCCAAAGTCCTCTCTCTTTCTATAGAGTGACTCAATGGCGATTTGAAAATTAACTTTCGAACAGATGCACTAATTCCATTTGTGCTGAGGAATGCCCGGGCACCATGTAACCCAAGCCAGGCCTGCTGTGGGCCTCCAGCGGGGGGGAGGGAGAGGTTACGGTCCAACTGCTGGAGACTAGAGCAGAGTCTATCTCTCTGTTAATCAATATGGGCTCTGCCAATAATACGCATAATCAGTGAAAGCGATGCCGGTTTTTCATCTGCCGCATTCACTGGGGTCCTCGGACTACACACCTGTTCCCTGTGCTCAGGGAAATTAGATAATCATTTCATGCACTGTGGACACTTAGGCTGAGTTTTCAAGGAAAAAGTGGGGGGAGGGGGCCTCCCTCTACTCATATATGTGTATTACAACCCAATTACAGCCTGGCCGTAAACATTAAAAGAACTTTCTGCTGATTTCTAAAGCAAGGCAACATTTTATTTCGTTAAAAATTCTCTCATGTATGTTTTATCACATGCTTAGTTATGGCAAAGTATTGGCTATATTGACAGATATGGTGTTTTGAATTTACATGATTCAAACATATTAATCACTCACACATTAATATGCTACATCAACATCATTGCTGTCAGTAACTGTGTTGATGTTGCATTTTATTCATGTGCAACTGACAAGCTGAAATCATGTTAATTAAACATATTTTTTCATTGTGCTCTCAAATATGTCATAGTAAAGGGGAATTCAACCCATTTTTCAAAATTTTTGCATAAGTAAAGGGTTATCATATAAAAAAAGTTACTCCGAGTGGTTTGATGTAAAATGCTCTGCTCTAGATAAACTTACCAAGTCAAAATTGTTTACAGTAGTGGTGATAGGAACCAGATGTCTGAGTTTAATACCTCTAAAAGCTACACAGAAAACTATTACACATTATGGTAGTGAATATGTTCATTGATAATTTTAGCTTGTAAATAAAATGGCTATATTTGTATTGCTGACATTGTGACCCCTGGTTCCTAGCACCACCACTGTAAAGAAATCAGAGTTGGTAAGGCTCTACAATGAGTCATTTCACATCAAACCACTCTGAATTACTTTGTTTAATTGAATTCCCCTTTAAATGTAGCCGTGTAATATAGCACATAAGCTATATTTACCTCTGTAACACAGCACAGTTACCCTATTTAGCTCTTTATTATTATACTTTTACCATACTTAGCTCTGTATGTGTATATGGATCATTAATTATATTTAGCTCTCTAATAAAGCACATTAACTATTTTTAGCTCTGTAATGAAGCATATTAATTATATTAAGCTCTCGAATAGAGCATATTAACTAAAATTAAACCCTGTAGTACAGCACATTAACTATTTTTAGCTCTGTGATACAACATATTGGCTATATGTAGCTCTGTAATGAAGAACAGCAACTATATTTAGCCCTGTAACATGACGCATCAACTATGTTTAGCTCTGGGATGTGACACATTAACCACATTTAGCTGTGTAACATGGCATATTAACTATATTTATCTCTCTAGTATGGCACAGTAACTATATTTATCTCTCTAGTATGGCACATCAACTATATTTATCTCTCTAGTATGGCACAGTAACTATATTTATCTCTCTAGTATGGCACATCAACTATATTTATCTCTCTAGTATGGCACATCAACTATATTTAACAAGTTAACTATATTAACTATGTAACCACATTAACTAAGGCATGTTCTATTAATTACATTAACTACAGCCAGTTGATTGGATCATTTAGCAGAAGTATGTCAAGGCAGAACTGGAGGAGGGGCTTGTATAATGCTGAACAACTGATGAAACCACATCTTCAAGACTACAACACGAGTAGTGCACAAATGGTTCTTCAAGGGTTCTTTAGTAAAGGCAGTGGTTCTATTTAGAACCATGATTTCTATATAGAACCATTTCATGCATAAACGGTCCATTACATGATTAAATGGTTCTTTTGACAGAGATTGATAGTGAATGTGTTGCATATGGTTCTATATGGCACCAAAAAGAGGGTTCTTCTATTGTTACAAGCTTGACATCATCACAATAGCAGTACCCTTTCTGGGGCTACATAGAACCATTTTTAAAAAGGTATTACATAGAACTGTATAGAACTCATGGTTCTAAATATAACCCTTCCCTCTACTAAAGAACCCTAGAAGAACCATCTTTTTTGAGCGTGTCCCAGACGATGTGTTTCCATTTCCTCTCAGTAATAATGAGTTGTTAGTGCATGGAGGACGCAGTGTGGAATCGAGGGGGGTTGGGGTGGGGGGGGCGGCTGGTTGCTTGTTGCTCTGCCACTGTTAACAAACTTCTCTGCTTGTTCTCGGCCCTACCGTCATTACGCCCCCCTGCGTGAGCTCCATGCAAGCGTTTAAGCCCCCCATCAGCACATCAATACAAAACTAAACACCCCATGCTGCAAGGCAGGACAACCACCAGCCCCCTCCCGGGACCACTTAACATGTGCTAATGAACGCACCACCCGGATAGACAGTTCCCACTCACAGCAAATTAAGTGTGATTTATGATACTGAAGTGAAGGAGGACATTTGAGAATAACGCTGTTTTTATCTGGTTAATGTGGGGCAGCGTGTGGCAAGAAAGGCTACAACTGGGAGAAAAGGCTGCAGCACCAGTCTGATTAGCAAAGAGTCTAAAAACACAGTAAATATTGAAATAAATGCCGAACGCTTGTTGTTCAAATTTTCCGTTCCACCTTAAATGCTGCACCATTTAAGGTGGAACGGAAAATTCGTACGAGCTGCTGGCGAACAGGAAACCAACTTCTCCCTTGTGTATTTTCTCGTGTTAACTGCTGCTCGTCAGAAACTGCATTAACATGTGAAACCTGCGCAGAAAAAAACCTAAAGGCTGCTGCTGCAACTGAACACCTTGAGTAGACTCGACCGGCAGATCTCGGCAGCCCCGCCTTACTGCGCGCTGATTGGTCCGTGCCGCGAAGGGGGCGTGGCGTAGCCGCCGTCCTCATAAATAGGCAAAGCGTCCCGCTCGGTGCGCGGATTTGTATGAGCGAGAGAGCGAGGCTTTTGTCAGCTCGCCGCATGCATGCAGACGGCGGATTTTCTCTCTTTTTTCCCCTCCCCTCAGTTTCTGTCCGTAAACTTTCATTTCTCCACCGCGCGCTGGAATCGGCGCGGGAAGACGGAGCTGAAGGAGGCGGCGAATCGCGCTTGGAAATAAGGGAATAAGGGGAAGTGGACGGCGCTCCGAGACGGCTGCATATCCTCAGCCATTTTGCCTACACGCCTAGGGGGCTGTGTGTGTGTGTGTTTTTTTTTTTCTGTCCGTTTTTTTTCTCTCCTTCTCCCTCGCACCGCTTCTCCTCTGTTTCCAGAGCCATACGGTTTGCAAATCGGTTGCAACTCCGTGAAGCAAGATGGGATCACGGCTGAAGATCTGATGGGACTAAAGAAATAAAATAGCGCCTACAATAACATCAACAACAAAAATAGTAATAGAGATCCCTCCAAAAAACAGCGGACTGGCGGACTGTAGACTCCAGCAGCCCTCTCTCTATTGTCACTAGAGGTGGGGAAAAAAAGAGCGGAGCAGGATTTGGCAGAGCATGGAGTGCTACCTGTTGGGGATTTACCTGTTCCTGGCCCTGGGTGCCCTGCAGCGGTCCAGCGGCACCACGGCCAAGGAGCTCACGTGCCAGGAGATCGCCGTGCCCCTGTGTAAAGGTGTCGGCTACAACCACACGTACATGCCCAACCAGTTCAACCACGACACGCAGGACGAGGCAGGCCTGGAGGTGCACCAGTTCTGGCCGCTGGTGGAGATCCAGTGCTCACCGGACCTGCGCTTCTTCCTCTGCAGCATGTACACCCCCATCTGCCTGGAGGACTACAAGAAGCCTCTGCCACCGTGCCGCAGCGTGTGCGAGCGGGCTCGGGCTGGCTGCGCTCCGCTCATGAGGCAGTACGGCTTCCCGTGGCCCGACCGCATGCGCTGCGACACATTGCCTGTTCAGGGTGACCCGGACACCCTGTGCATGGACTACAACAGGACCGACTCCACTACAGCGTCACCTGTGCTGTCCAAGCCCACCGGACGGCCGGGCAAGCCACATGTTCCACCTCACAGGACCAAGCACGGGCACGGGAGGCCGGGCGTCCAGACCAAGCGCAAGCCAGGGTCCCCCTGCGAGCCGGGCTGCCAGTGTCGTGCGCCCATGGTGCGAGTGAGCAGCGAGAGACACCCGCTGTACAACCGCGTGAAGACGGGCCAGATGCCCAACTGCGCCATGCCCTGCCACAACCCGTACTTCACCCAGGACGAGAGGACTTTCACAGCCTTCTGGATTGGCCTGTGGTCTGTGCTGTGCTTTGTGTCCACTTTTGCAACTGTTGCCACTTTTTTGATCGACATGGAGAGGTTTAAGTATCCCGAGAGACCCATCATCTTCCTCTCGGCCTGTTACATGTTTGTTTCCATCGGCTACATTGTGAGACTGATTGCGGGCCATGAGAAGGTTGCGTGCAGCCGGGAGTATGACGTGGAACATGTGCACTATGAGACGACGGGTCCTGCGCTCTGCACTGTCGTCTTCCTCCTCATCTACTTCTTCGGCATGGCCAGCTCGATCTGGTGGGTGATCCTGTCCCTCACATGGTTCCTCGCAGCTGGCATGAAGTGGGGCAATGAGGCTATAGCCAGTTACTCGCAGTACTTCCACTTAGCTGCCTGGCTCATCCCGAGCATGAAGTCCATCGCCGTTTTGGCCCTCAGTTCTGTGGATGGGGACCCGGTGGCTGGGATCTGCTATGTAGGCAACCAGAACCTGGACAACCTGCGGGGCTTCGTGCTGGCACCTTTGGTCATCTACTTGTTCATCGGCACCATGTTCCTGCTGGCAGGTTTTGTGTCCCTGTTCAGGATCCGCAGCGTCATCAAGCAAGGTGGCACCAAAACAGACAAGCTGGAGAAGCTGATGATCCGCATCGGCATTTTCACGGTGCTCTACACCGTCCCGGCCACCATCATCGTGGCGTGCTACTTCTATGAACAACACAACAGGCAGAGCTGGGAAACGAGCCACAACTGCTCGTGCCTGATGGAGCATGAGCTCCGGAGGCCTGACTATGCTGTCTTCATGCTCAAGTACTTCATGTGCCTCTCAGTGGGCATCACGTCCGGTGTTTGGATTTGGTCAGGCAAGACGTTGGACTCTTGGCGGGCACTGTGCACGCGCTGCTGCTGGGGAAGCAAAGGCACGAGCGGTTCCACTTACAGTGATGTGAGCACGGGGCTCACGTGGCGCTCAGGCACGGCCAGCTCTGTGTCCTGCCCCAAACAGATGCCCTTATCACAGGTCTAAAAGAAAAGACAATGGACTGCTGACTGTTTGGAGGAGGTCATGCATCAGCCTTTGCCTCTATTAGCATACAAATGGACTGCTAATGGTTTTCATTAGGCAAGCAGCAAGAAAAGCTGGTAGAAACAAGGTACCTGTCATTATTATTATTATCATTATTGTTCTATCCATTCTATTGATATGGACATGCAATCAGTGACACCTAGAGAGAATCAGGGCATCACACTGTCTTATGTGAAGCTCGGACATTTGCCCTCCCCCCGAGTCCGTACTTTAGCCAGCCTTTAAGGGAAAAGTTTCTGCTGCTTCACTTTTTACACAGACAGTTTGAAATGTCTAAACAATCAAAATATCAAAGATGGTCTCGAATAAGCCTTAAAAGTCTTAGTGCCCAAATATTTTACGGGTTGTTTTGTCATTTTTTTGTAATTGTAAAATGTATTTATACTATTGTTGTGTACAAACTTGTAAATTCTGTATAAAAAAGATTTATAAAATTATTGTAAATTTGTACATAGTGTAGATGTCACTTGAAGACAAATATGACTTTTATTTTGACAATAAAACATTTGGAGAAATCTTACAACTCTGCAGCTTCTTCTCTAGGCAAGTAATGAGGGTTTTTCCTTTTTTTTTTTCCAAGGGGGGTGACCCTATTGAAGGTGCTTGTTCTGGACTCTTTTGTGGGGGCCTTGTAAAGAGAAGCTTTTCTTAGCTCTTAGCTATCTGGGGCCGTAATTAGAGGCGAGGAGCTTGAGTTGGAGAATCTCCATAATTGTTGCACTCTTCACTTAATTTACTCCAAGAGGGGCTGAGTGAATGGGGTTTAAATGCAGGGAACGGGGGCTCTTTTCATCTACGGGAAACTTTGATCTCTCTTTAAAGTCTCCAATAAAGGTGACATGTAGATAGAGCGTTCTTTTTTTCTTTTCCTCCTGCCAATGCACAGAGTTGTCTAATGTCTAATTTGAGAGCGCCATCAAAAACGTCTTACTCGAGCCTCAGCTGTATTATTAACGGTGAAGTTTAGTCTCAAACGTGAGAGAGAGTGAATGACCCCCTACAGGTGGTCCCTTTACAGTAACCTCCCCCCCCATCAAGGGACCTTCACTGTGAGCCCTGACAGAACTGTAGTAAAGCTCAGACAAAGAAGCTCACTGGAAAATGTTGCCTGATGGCAAATGAAACAGTTTTCTTTCTTGTTTTGTCCCACACGAGCTTGGTGCGATCAGACTTGGGGGAGGAGGGGGGTGGAACTTTTAACATTTTCTTGTTTTTGGTGCACTTTAAAAACAATTGAGCCTTTTGAGGTCATATCTTTGGATCTTTTACCAAGTCAGTGTAGATTCCTCAATATAATTAAGCTAAAATAATCATCTGGGTTTAGGTTTTGATGTTGGTTATTGTTGTTGTTTAGTTTGTTTGATTTTTAAGTACAGTTTAAAGGTAAAGTTCACCAAAAAATCAAATGTACACACTTTTTCCTTTACCACAAATGGAGCTGAATCACCAAGACATGTTTGGCCACTGAAGTTTGCTTTCTTAGCTTTACGCTGGAACTACAAGGCTAATATAATGGTAATAAAAGTCCATGTCACACCAAAAAAGATGCTGAGTGACAATTGCTTTTTTGCTACATTAGCCTTGTATATCCAGTACAAAACCAAACATGTGTTGTCTGTTCAACTGCATGTGGGTTAAGGGGATGTATATGGGACTTGTCAGTGGACGTTTCCTTTAAGACAACCAGGTTAATTACCTTTTAAGCTGAAGTAACAAATCATTTTTACAGTGTATTAGATGGGCTGGTACTCTGTATGGTAGTTTGATTTGTCCTCTGTCTGCTCACCACTAAAGCACCTCATCCAATCGACCATTCTGATTGATTTTATGACCATCTTTACCCCGCGCTTCAGTGCAAAACCCTTTCGATTGATTATCTAGGCCTCTAAAACATCACATTAGGTAAAATCAGGCTTGCTCACTGCTTTCCTAATGAGAATACAGGGATGCTTTAAATGAATAAAACTGCTTTCACAGAGCTTCCCTTTAGCACAGACTACCTGTTTGCTTACACAGTGATGAAAATTATATCTGCTGGAAAATAAGCATTGCTAACATCTGCTATTATGCATTTGCAAGTGTGCACTTTATTATGCACGTGCCATTATGCACATTATGCACTTGTTTCACACCTCGTTGAAGGCTCTGAAGCTCTCAGCAGCTGCTTGTCATGTAGACATGAGAGTCTGAAAGGTATGTTTTGCTCTTACACTCGCTTTCAGTTTACTTTTTCAGTAAACTGAAAAAAAAAACAAGCTATCAAAAGCTGAAAAAACACTCTTGGACTCTCTTTTTATATATAAGCTTAGGTTATTTGAGGTAATATTAAATGAAACACATAGTATATTTTAAAGAATTTTGAAGTCCAGTCTGATCACTGTGATCTGTTAATGGTGAGTGGTCTCATATCGCCATCTAGAGGCCAATAGGAACAATTGCAGCGATGCAATGTTCATTTGTATAGTGTTATTCAGTAACTGTTTAAGGTGTTTGTCTGTAGGATCAGAATCAGCTTTATTTCATATGACAAATGTATTTTGGTGAGTGCACAGACATATGACATTATATAACACAATACACAGACCAGACAATTAGGCAACATGATATATGGGGTCATTCCATGCCAATTCACCTAGATGTCCAGTCACATGATGTGATTTCTGTGGAAAAAAGAAACAAGACTGAACTGAGCTGCAGTATTAACTGGGTATAAATGCAGTATTGCTACCTTTCTATCAAATCTTTGATCTATTAATAATAATAATTAATTCATGAAAGCAATATTTGAAGATACATCTTGGGTTGAAAATAGCTTCACAGCTAAAAATTTTTATAACATCTTTAATGATTTTATAACATCTTCTCAACAGGAGCTAATCCAATTTCCAAACTTTCTGCTGCATAGGAGCAGTTATGTCCGTTACAGATGTGACTTCGTTGTTTAATCATTTTTAGAGAATTAGCCATTTGACAAAGATGCCCAATACAAAAGGTATTCAAACTGTAAAAAGGAAAACTCATGATTTGCAGATGAACCTTTCCAATGCACCACAAATTTGAATATTTGTTAATGATCTTGCGTACATCTGTCAAATAAATAGAACAAAATAAAGAAAGCTGTTTTACCAAGTAATATCAACATTTGTGCAGTGATACAACGATAGATTATAGTACAGATGATCTGTGTGGTGCTGATCTATAGAGTTACAGGTCACAGAAAAGGGGGGGGTGTGAAAAGTTCAGATTAAATTGCAGGGTGTCCACTGTGGCTAATGAGGCCCACAGGTCTGGGGAAAAGTCTGACGTTAGCGTGTCTGGTTGTGCTGGTTTTAATGGCTCTGAATGGTGTGGCGGAAGGAAGTGGATGGATGAGGTGATGTCCAGTCCTGTAATCTTACCAGTGCTCTTCATGACCCTGTTGTTGTGTATGTCCTGTAGTGTTGTTACACTATACTCGATTATTAGATGTGTCTTTTTATGTGTGTGTGTACAGGGTCGTGTACAGGTGGGTGACCAAGGAGCAAGAACCGTTGACCTTTTCCTCCCTTTGACCAAACTGCCCCTTATTTCTCGACTTCATTCTCCATGAATAAAATAAAATATTTATTTAATGTAATCATTAAACTTAAGCTGGAGCCTAAATAACTAACCTGCCTGGATGTGAATCTGAAGCATTTGAACCTTTTGAACACCATTTTGTCAAACAATTAGATTAGTATCTCGTTCAATATCTCCAAAATGCTGTTCTTAAACCAACATTGTATATAATATCATATAACCATTTCATGTATTAGCTTTCTGTAGTATGTAGCTTTTAGATGTATCCAATGATTCAGATGTCTGGATCCTATCACCCCCATTGTGAAACACTATGACTCCACTTTCTCTAAAACAGAACATTTCACATCAAACCACTCTAAATGACTTTCAATAATGCAGAAATTTAAAAAAAAAAATGGTGAAATTCCCCTGTAAGTATAAATCTTTGGCTGTATAAGATGACGTCACCTATTCAAATACAGAATCTGAGAGTTTTACCATTTAACTGCATTAAAACAGCAGTGATATGTTTTGAAATCTGATTAAAGACTAACTGTCAAGGAGGTGGGGGGTAGAAACTGGGACAGCATTTGTTAGGTCTGAGCCATCGCTCCTCTAAATGTCTGTCCATAGTCCTGTGTGTTAACTTTACATGCTTATGCTTAACTAGATTTTTTTGCACTCATATTCATTTGTCCATGTGACACAAACGAACAGAGACCATCAAAGTGAAAGAAGATATATCATTACATATGTCTTTATGCAGAAGGCAGGAAACACCCTGGACAGGCCGCCAGCCCATCACAGGGCAGACACACAGACATATATATTCACACATGAACACTCACATCTAGGAGCTATTTAGCATCTCCAATTCACCTGACTGCATGTCCTTGGAGTGTGGGAGGAAACTCATGCAGATACAGGAAGAACATGCAAACTCCACACAGAAAGGAGGAATGCAAAGCCTGCAGCATATAGCAATTTGATTTTGTTTCCCCTCTCAGTTTTCTCTGTCTGCCACCAGAGGTCTCTGCCTCCTCAATTCTGGCTGTCTCTGTTTTTACTGTTCATTCTACTCTGTGTCTGTTGATACTCCTGTTATGTACGTCCTGTCTTTCCTGTCACTCACTGTGAGCTCTGTGTTTTCACAGCAGTTCTTAGCTGCACTATAGTGATAACTTGTGTGTCTGATCTCAAGTAGTGGTTTGGATTTAGTTTTTGTGTTAGTTATTCATTAATTTATTCATTTTTTATATCATATTCATTCACAATGTTTATAATAGGCTCAGCACTGCAACTCGCTCATCTGATTCGTCTTACTTACGGTTGTCTAAGTCGACACGTTCAAACTAGAAAATACTAAAGAAAAAAGACACTATTTTTGAAAGCAGACGATTAAGTCTGATAGTAGCCAGGACATGTGGCCTGCACTGAATGGAAACAAAGATTTACACATGAATATTTAAGTGTGAAATGTCAGATGTGCAGATGATTCACTACAGCAATGCACAACGTTCAGATAGGTGTTTAAGTGGTCTGGTAGATTTGGATATCAATCAAAGGAACATGCAGCTAATCAAGAGGAATGAAAAGAAATAATAGATAAACATAATAGAAAAGTATTTGGCAATTGGGCTTTTCTTCGACTCGGCTTTCCTGAGAGAGTGCAGTGTGAGGTAGAGACACTAGAGGGCAGCATTGATGTAAAAACATACTGACATGTCCCAAGACTCTTAACAGTGAGATTGTAACTGAACTGTGCGCTCTCTCTTCACCAGTGTAGGTGTAAAATTGTGATACTTTAGGGAACCTCATCAGTAGCACATTTTAAGTAAAATATGTGTTATATAAGTAGAGATGGCACCAGTCTGATAATGGTATTGGGCTGATGCTGGACTGGATATCAGGATCGGTATTGTCACTAATCTAATATAAAATAGAATATGACTGCAGTTATATTATGAATTATCGTATTAT